AAAATAAAGCGATTACCCTTGCTTTTATCGCAAAGCATAATAAAGATGCTAAATTTTGTAGGTTGTTCAATTTTCTTTTTTGGATCCTTTTCTTGAGAATTTAATAGGATCTTATAGATTGCACTCTTAAAATCTACTTCAATAATCTCTGTATTCCCTGTAAAAGCATATAGATCGTGTATTATAAATTTGATACAAAACTACCACTGGTAAAACTTATTTGTACACATGCAACTGATATCTGACTAATCGTGGTATGTCAGCAAGTATGCATATAGGCTGTAAAATGATATCCAATACAGTACTTATAATGCATATGTCACTACCCGAAATTATGATGTGATACAGTACCTGTAGCTTAATTTGATGCATTAGATCATATTCAACTTATATACTGTACATACACACCCAATAAAGACAATTTAATGAATGTTATCATATTAAGATGGTTACATAAAAAAATTTATGGTAGTTTGTACCTTTGATGTCTTAAAAACTTGACTCAGAACCTCACGAGTTTAAGCTACTGTACATATATTCCCGTATACTTATTATACAGCTATACAATATATATATATATCAGTATACAATCACCTTGCTGTACTGCTTTCGGTTCAAAATCCTTTAACAAGAAATCATCGGTATTCAATGAATTCGTAAATTTATTGAACTGTTCCGTAAGTTCATTAAGGCTAAGATGAAGTGTAGTTAATGCTGGATCTTTTGATTTGCAAAGTTTTTCCAATTGCAAAACGAATATAATAAAAACCGCTACTGATGAAAGTAAGTTATACAAAAAATTAATTGTAATATTGTCTGCCTTGTTCTCCAAATGCTTTTTTGAATTGTCATTATTTAATGCAAAATAAGCATTGACGCCTAGAGCTGTTGCCAAATAAAGGTTTATCCACGCCGTTCTCACTCTCTTTAGGGATTTTTTGCAGAACGTAGAACCCTTTTGAAAGTTTGACTTTCCCAAGTTCGAGTTCAATATATGTAAAAAATATGATGAATTTGCTAACGCCATAAATTCTGAAACTTTATACTTGATCATGAATGATAGATTTTGGCATTCTGAAATTCTCACAACAAGCTGCACTAAATTTAATAAGTGCCAGAAGGTTACAGCGACTAATGTAATGTTTCGAATGGTGAAAATTGAAAGACTACATCCACAATTTAGTGATCCATTTAGTGTAAATAGTTCTAGAAAACTGATTTCTTTATTTTCTGATGCGATCCGTAATTTTAAGTTATTCGTACTATAAAAAGCAATATTATCATACGTTAAGAGTTTGAGCTACGTTTTGAAAAGTAAACGTCGTCTTTGTTAAGCAAGGTATTGCTCAAAGGTAGCTGAGTCAAGTATACTAAACTTAAGTACTTTTGAATTGAATACCTTGATCGTCTTAGCTGTTCATTCGCATTCTTATTTATTCTCGAGTCTTCCGCTGTATGCATACTAGCGACAATGATTATAGCAAAAATCTCCAAAATAAACGCTACACTCAGATAAGAAACAGTTATCTGTTCTTCGTTCGTTGATGGTTTGGTTACGTTTGCAACCATTTTTAATTTTCTAGCAGTGATATTAGTCTGATAGCAGGTATAGAATAAGACTGCATATAAGGTTAGTCCTAAATTCGCCATTTCAATTAGAATAAGAATGTTACGTATAAAGTAATAGAAACGGTTCCAAAATCTTTTTAAGCATCCTAAAGAAGGCAAATATTTACGACCCATCTACAGTATGATATAGTATATTAATCAACCACATCTAAAATTTTGGGCAGCTAGTTAATACGTTCTGACACTTTCTGTCTCTTGTCGCTCAATACTACGGCATAGTAAAGTATGTAGGTTGATTACTCTCCATTGCGATGTCTAACTGTGATATTGTTCAGACTTTTCCCACGTGCTAAAGCAATAAAAAGCTAATGTATTGAACTGTTAACTGCTTACTAGCTGGATCATCTGCATAAGCTTAGAACCATTGTGTCTATTCGATAGCGGAATTAACTACGCTTCTAGCGAAGACAACACAAAGTTGCATTTTGCATGATAATGCAGACTATCAGCCTATAGATTGTACTGTATGCATTTCCCACTCTCATAGACCTGAACAAGTGAACATGGACCATTAGTCAGTTTCTAGTAGTCCATGACCTGAGGAAGGTTAAAACTAGTCAACGGTACAACGCTAGGATCAACTTGATCCTAACGCAATTCATCAAGATGCTGCTCGAGGCTCAAATTATGACCCAAAATACGCAGGAGAGACTGTCTTCATTCCAAGGATCCCCCACATTTTCCTCGAACCTGCGATATACTTTCAGCTTGTCCCGAACTTCCTGTTAACTTAATCCGACAGAATGCATCCAACTCGTTACTAGGGCTACAGTGCGCTCCGTCCCCTCTCGGTTACCCCTAGCCAGTCCAGAGTAGTCGAGGCCAGGCAATGTTATCTAATTCCTTCGTTCAGTTTAACCAATGGTTTTAGCTAAGGGTCTCTAATGTGAACTAGAGGATAAAAGTTGATGATTATCAGCCGCGTCATTGATTCCACTTATTTATATCTGTAATAATATCTCATGTAGATGGACTAGGATTGTAGAGTTAAAGAAAGAATATTTATTCAAGAAGCAAATATACCTAAGTTTCTTGATATCTTAGTATTATTGATAAACTACTTTCGATGATATGGGCATTCATTTTGTTTCGTTTCCTGGTGAACTTCCGCGTATTTGAGAGCTCCAAGAATATTGAAAGCATGGTATAGGCGTATGTGAAGTATATTCGTTATTTGATACTCGCGTATGTACTCAGAAAGAACGGTCGTAGGAATAGGATTGTATGGACGGTGTTCGCTGGCTTGTGCGCGATTATGCAAGCAAATCAAAAGTCTGTAGATGGCTGTAAATAGTTTATTTAGCGTTAGTGTTAACCTGAATTACTCAAGTCAACGTAACAGTTTACCAGTAGAGAACTGAAATTTCAATACATTCACGCTACTTTCCAAGGTACCTATCATATATAATAATCCTCGCAACTCTTAAAGGTCCTGGTAAATTACGGCCTCGTGCAATCAATAAATGCTACAAGTGCGTGTATGAAATACAAGAACGACTTAATAAATTGAATTCTACACGTATATCAGTAAATGATATCTTAATAGTGCCATCACAGAAATATGTCCATTTCATCGAGAAAGTGGAGACCGTTAATATTTCCTACAGTCACCTCCCACCATAGGCTAAAGCAATCTTTCAATGCAGATTGCAGTAATTTCAACATTATGCTTGATACCGTAACTGAGAAAGACAAATTAAAATTAAAACTGTGCATTTTCATTACAGCTACAAAGAATTCTTTTAACCTGAAATATCAGGATGGAGATTTACCTTCAGCTGCAGCTACAAATACTGCAATTGAACGCGCTGCTATAGCACTAGCAGAAAGACTGCAA